GAGGTTTGTGTGTCTGGCAGCCAGACCAGTGATCGTCTTTCACGGGTGCAGCTCTGCTTTACTTGTCAAAGCAAAGGTCCTTTGCATCCCCATCCACCATGGTCTTTACCTTACAAGGGGAAAGTCTTGACCTTCTGACCTTAAGCCACATGCTCGCATTGACCTGCTTCATCTCCCAGCCCACCCATGTCACTGCCTGTGTGCGTCATTTGCAAAGCTGGTCTTAGCCACAGAGGATACCTCATTGGCACAGTCCGTGGTTTGGACACAGGATCACCCTGGATGTGAGTCAGCACCACGGGGGCCTCTACTGCATGGTCAGAGGGCCAGACTCCCATCAGAGGGACCGTTTCCCACCTCCCTGAGCAGAGAGGACCACACAGTCGGCCTCAAACCACTTTGTGTTCCAGTGCCTCCAGTGCCCATGGTACCCAGTCATAGACGGCTGCAGGTTGGCCCAGCTCTGCAGCTTGGCTGAGGGGTGAGGGGGCAGAAGGGTCAGGAGCCAGTGACGAGGTCTCAGGCACGGCAGGGGCTTTGCCAGGGCAGGCTGCAGGAGGCCCAAGCAGTGGTGTCACAGGACAGCAGCCCGTGCCATTTTAAAGTGGGTCACTGAGAAGACCCCCCAGTATATCTCTGGGGGATTCAGGGAAGAGCACAGTCTGAAGGCCTGGGACTGTCCTGTTCAGAGGTGTTAGTTGGCAAGGTCGCCACTAAGGTCCACAGGGCCCTCCAGAAGGTCTGTAATGGGGGAATGCTCACCAAATGCAGTTCCTCTGTTATATACTTTATTCCTAAGATCCCGCTTTGCTAGCTGTCATCAACCCATCTGAGTGACACGGGTGTGAAAATGCTCACCCATCTCTCTGGAGGCTTTTCTGGCCATTTCCGAGCCCCACACCTCCTGCATGGGTACGATGCCACCCTATGGGGTCGGAGTGATAAAACCTGGGACTTCTTGGTTTCAGAAGCTGAAGTTCACAGCATTAATTAGGCCCCAGTTCTTCAGTTTTGTCTTTCATTTGTGTCTAGCTGGCTGGCTCCTGCTCTGGGTGGAAACCTGTTTTTTTGGTTTTTTTTTTTTGACAAGGGCCTAAATGAGGGAGCTCCTCTGCCCATTTGCTCTTCCCCGGGTGGTACTGATTTGTGCTGAAAGACTGCTCGTGTTTCGTGCTGTTTGTCACAGCAGCTGTATCTTCTTCACCCTGGGTGTTGACGCCCTACTGTGCGAGAGAGGGCACCAGCGAAGCAGTTGGAGAGAATGTCCCAGACCTGAGCGGCAGGCAGTCACTAGTCATCTGCTGGTGTAGACTGAGGAGTGACCAGAACTCCCACTTGGCAGTTCCCCAGTCGTTGGTCATGGTGATTCATCGTGAGCGTCGCTGGGCGGGCAGCCTCTAGAACTCCTGCAGCTCTGCCCAGATTTTGTGGTTCTGATTCATAATGCTTTTGGATGTACTTCATGGATCAGGACTTCTTCAGCTGGGTGTGTGGCTGTTCGAGATCTTTTGCTCTGTGCCGGGCTGGCCTTCTGTCTCAGAAGCATGTCCTCTCTGATGGTTGCTGACCCTGGAAAGATTTCTGGCTTTTTTGGGCTGGTCTGTCATGCTCTCAAGTTGGGCTTCCTTCTACAGATTCTGCCTCCCGCAGATTCCCACTAACTGCCTGAAGGCTCCTTTCGCAGAGCGCTGTGCTGTACGGTCAGCAGCCTCTTCTCCAGCCTCTTCAAGGCAGTGGTGGTGTTTGGCGATGGGGGCCTCAGTGACCTGAAACCCTGGGGGAGTCCTGTGGCTGGGAGCAGCCTGTCCCCCACCTGCTGGTGCCGAGGAGCACTCACACAGGACTCTGATTCCTGCCTCTTGCCTGTCATTCCTAGCCTGGCTATGCGTAGGGGTTAGTTGTGGGTGCTAATGGTGCAGCTAGGGCAGAAATATTTATATGAGTAAACCAAAGACTCCGAGGGTAGTGAGGACCTCAGGTGCAGATATGCCAGGCTCCAGCACACCTATTACAGACCGAAGAGGCAGTGAATGCTGGTGTTTGGCTGTTACCTGCAGCCAGGTCTTATCAGGCAAGCAAGTCTCTGGGGGCCCCCAGCCTTGGCCTTATTCCCCTATACGATCCTGGCTTCCCTTCCCCGCTGTCTCCTTGTTCCCTTTGATGCTTTGAGCTTCTGTTTTGGGACTTGACTAGGGAGACAAGGCCTCACTGTGCGCTGGGTACAAGGCCAGTTGGGAAGGAGGATTGGAGAGTGGAGCCCGGATGTGCCCTGGACCTGTTCATGCAGCAGCCTTGCAGTGTGTCCTGGGTCCTCTCTCAGCTCACAGGGGTAGGTGGGGAACCAGCACTGACAGAATTCAGCATGTGCCTGGGCCTGTGACTGTACAAGGATGGCATCATTTCCCTCTTTGTACAGGTGAGGAAACGGGCTGACTTTGAGGCAGGCCTCAACCTGCGTGGAGCTGGGACTCGGCCCGGGCTTTCAAGGATGGGGCTTCCCCTTGAGTAGGCAGTTGTTACAAGGATGAGTCCTGGCTTGTCGTGGGGGCTGTGACTTTCAGAAGGAACTTTTCTATCCTGCTTCGCCCCCAGGCCCTGAGAGGAAAAGTGGTGCAGAGTATTGGAAGGAAGGTTCGTTGTTCCCTCAGACTGAAGGGGACACTGCTTTGTCCTGGTGGAGCAGGCTTGGGTCCCCTAGTGCTCCCTCCACCGAGCGCCCTCCGGAGGGAGGGGCCGCTAGTGGAATCTTTCAGGGACTATGGATGCTGCCAGCCCCTAGGCATGTTCAGACTTCCAAGTTCAGGGGCTTTCCCCAAATGGCCTTGAAGATGCAGGGGTGCCAGCTTGTCTGTGACTTGCCTGGGCCAGGTTCCTTGTGAAACTCAGATTTATTTTGCTTCCTGTGGCCCTTGTATTAAATGAATCATTGCCACACAGAGTGCTGCCTGGGCCAGACGCATCCAGTACCAGGATGCTCAGAGGTGCGTGGGCTTCAGAATGTTCTTGTCCGAGGAGACCCAGAGACCCTGGGAGATGTCCGCTTTGGGGCTGGAGACCCAGGCTGAACGCCCGTCCTGTGGCCAGGCGGGACCAGGCGCAGCCCAGCCCTGTAAACATCTCCTGGTTCCCTGACTTTTCTGTTTGGGCCTTAAGTCTTTGCTTCGTGTTCTTTTACAAAATAGGAGCATTCAGCCTTTGCTTTATGTGTTTATAGGTGGATGAGGCTGTTCGCATATTTAACGCGATTGAACTGAAAAAATTTAAAGCACAGGTTTTTCAGCCAAAACATTTGAAGTAAATATTTTTTATAGCTAAAAAAGACTGTAGAGGAAAAATACGTTTAGTGTTTTGCATGGATTTCAAAACACTAATCTCTACAGATATTTTACCGTTTCTGATGCCGGCTGTGTTTGCAGCGGAGGGTGAGTGCGTTTGCAGAGGACGGGTTCATACTGCCCATTAATTAGAGGACAGTGCACCCTACATGGGTGGAATGTGGTGTCACAGACCCTCAGTGAACTCGGTGGCTCAAAGAGCAGGTGGTAAGAGACAGCCTCAGTAATACAACTGATGGTGTCAGGTGTCTTCTCACGGGTTTTTGCTGGAAGTAGGAAACCTCTTTGTAAGCAGATGAGTATCTGGTCTCTCATAAGGTCAAGGGGACTGCATGCTGCCCGGCACCTGTGTCCTCACTGGGACGATCAGGTACAAGCTTGGGGTCTCTGCCATCGCTCAGGTACCTGGCTCTGAGCAAGAGGAATCAGAGGCCCTGCGGAGCCCAGCAGGCATGGCTCTAGCCTTCCTGACACAGGGAGAGAAGCATTTCAGTGTCCCTCTGCTGACAGGCAGTGGCTGTAGGCTGGGGCTGGCAGTAAGACATGGTGTCTGTTGGCCAGTGTGTCTCTGGACTCGATGGGACAGGACACTGGAGCCTGAGATGCCTGCAGGCAGACAAGAGAATGGGCACCACCTCTTGGGCATTGGGGGCAGGGGTGTTTCCCCAGGATGAGACGGGTCACAGATGGAGCCTGGGCAGAGGTGAGCCTGGTTTCTCTTGTCAGCTGATGGTGGAAATTCTTGTGGCAGCAAGAATTGGGTGTTGGGAGTGTGACCACCAGTGATATGGCCCTGTGGAAAAGGACTTCCACCCCAAAACAAGTCAAGGGGGTGCTGGTGGGTGGGATAGGGGATGAGCTACTCATGCCCACTTCTGCGCCTGCACCCTCCACGGGCAGAGGTGAGCGCTGCACATCTTCTGAACTTAGCTGACTGTAGACCTCTCTTTTAGATATGTCAGAGCTCCTTGGGTGCCTTTGGTAAGCACTCTTCTCGAATAATTGTTTCTGGGGTCTCGCCCTGGGCATCACAGTTTTGCTTGAGGGTTGAAAAGCAGGGTTAATGAAGACTTGAGACGACTAATGGTATCTGCTCCCAGAGGTGTACCACTGCACTTGACTGTAACGATGCGATGGTCGTAAAGTGAGTCATTTGAGGGCATTGAGCTGTCCCTTGCACCCAGACCCGTGTGCATTTCTGCTCCCTCGGGGGGAGCGTGGGGGCAAAGTCGTGTCCGCAGAGGGCAGAGAAGTCAGAGGCGAGAGTAGAAAGGAGCGCTGAGGGGGAGACACTCGGGCTGGACTCTGCAGGCAGAGTGGGTGAGGGTGTGGCCAGGCATGTTGCTGGTTGAAAACCCACAACGGTCTCAAGCCCCCTGGCGTGAGTTCTCCGGGATGAGCCGTGTGTGAGTGTCAGCCATACCGTCTCTCCACCGCGTGACCTTGGGCGAATCGTTTGCCTTTCAAGCTAGACCTTCTGGCAGCCCCAGTTTTTGTGACATCTCAGTGAACCCTAGGAGAGAGGAGTAGGTTCCCCCAACAGGAATTCTGAATTACACCTCAAGCCTGTGACAGGACTCGGGCGAGGCCAGTGACCAACTTCTGCGGGCGTTTTCTGGTTGTGCGACAACAGTAGCACTTACCTCGTGCTGGTGTCTCTTCCAGGTATCTGCGGCAGGGAAGGAGGCCTTGCCGTCCTGGCTGCACTGGGACCCGCAGAGCCGCATCCTGGAGGGGCTCCCCCTAGACACCGATAAGGGGGTGCACTACATTGCAGTGAGCACGGCACGGCTGGGGGCCAATGGGAGCCACGTGCCCCAGACCCCCAGCGTGTTCTCAATCGAGGTCTACCCCGAAGACCACAGCGAGCAGCCGGCCGTGCGGACCGGGTCACCCGACCCTGGCGAGGTGGTTTCATCTGCCTGTGCGGCGGAGGAGCCCGTGACTGTCCTGACAGTCATTCTGGACGCCGACCTTACCAAGATGACCCCAAAGCAAAGGATTGACCTCTTGCGCAGGATGCGGAGCTTCTCAGGAGTGGAGCTTCCCAGCATGAAGTTGGTGCCCGTGGTGAACAATAGGCTCTTTGACATGTCGGCCTTTATGGCGGGCCCAGGAAATGCAAAGAAGGTTGTAGAGAATGGGGCCCTGCTCTCCTGGAAGCTGGGCTGCTCCCTGAGCCAGAACAGCGTGCCCGACATTCGCAGTGTAGAGGCTCCTGCCAGGGAGGGTGCTATGTCAGCACAGCTCGGCTACCCCGTGGTGGGTTGGCATATCGCCAATAAGAAGCCCCCTCTTCCCAAACGCATCCGGAGGCAGATCCACGCCACACCCACGCCTGTCACTGCTATTGGGCCCCCAACCACAGCCATTCAGGAGCCACCATCCAGGATTGTGCCCACTCCCACGTCTCCAGTCATCGCTCCTCCCACAGAGACCCTGGCACCTCCAGTCAGGGACCCCGTTCCCGGGAAGCCCACAGTCACCATTCGGACTCGAGGTCCCATCATTCAGACCCCAACTCTAGGCCCTATCCAGCCCACTCGGGTATCAGAAGCTGGCACCACGGTTCCTGGCCAGATCCGCCCCACGATGACCATTCCCGGCTATGTGGAGCCCACGGCAGTCGCCACTCCTCCCACAACTACCACCAAGAAGCCACGAGTTTCCACGCCAAAACCAGCTACGCCTTCCACAGACTCAACCACCACGACGCGAAGGCCAACCAAGAAGCCACGAACCCCCCGACCGGTGCCTCGGGCCACCACCAAAGCTCCCATCACCAGATTGGAAACAGCCTCCCCGCCTACACGCATCCGCACAACCACCAGCGGGGTGCCCCGCGGAGGAGAACCCAACCAGCGCCCAGAGCTCAAGAACCACATCGACAGGGTGGACGCCTGGGTCGGCACCTATTTTGAGGTGAAGATTCCGTCAGACACCTTCTACGACAAGGAGGACACCACCACTGATAAGCTGAAGCTGACCCTGAAGCTTCGGGAGCAGCAGCTGGTGGGCGAGAAGTCTTGGGTGCAGTTCAACAGCAACAGCCAGCTCATGTACGGCCTGCCTGACAGCAGCCACGTGGGCAAGCACGAGTACTTCATGCACGCCACCGACAAGGGTGGCCTGTCAGCTGTGGATGCCTTTGAGATCCATGTCCACAGGCGCCCTCAGGGGGACAGGGCTCCTGCGCGGTTCAAGGCCAAGTTGGTGGGTGACCCGGCACCAGTGGTGAATGACATTCACAAGAAGATCTCCCTGGTGAAGAAGTTGGCCTTCGCCTTTGGGGACCGCAACTGTAGCACCGTCACCCTCCAGAATATCACGCAGGGCTCCATTCTGGTGGAGTGGACCAACAACACGCTGCCCCTAGAGCCCTGTCCCAAGGAGCAGATCACGGGGCTGAGCCGCAGGGTCGCCGAGGATGACGGGAAGCCTCGGGCTGCCTTCTCCAATGCGCTGGAGCCTGACTTCAAGGCCTTGAGTGTTGCTGTGACGGGTTCTGGTAGCTGCCGGCACCTGCAGTTTATCCCCGTGGCGCCGCCCAGGAGGGTGCCTTCAGAGGCACCGCCCACGGAGGCGCCAGATAGGGACCCTGAGAAGAGCAGCGAGGATGACGTCTACCTGCACACAGTCATTCCGGCTGTGGTGGTCGCGGCCATCCTGCTCATTGCCGGCATCATCGCCATGATCTGCTATCGCAAGAAACGGAAGGGAAAGCTCACCCTTGAGGACCAGGCCACCTTCATCAAGAAGGGGGTGCCTATCATCTTTGCAGATGAGCTGGATGACTCCAAGCCCCCGCCCTCCTCCAGCATGCCACTTATCCTTCAGGAGGAGAAGGCCCCTCTCCCCCCTCCTGAGTACCCCAACCAGAGCGTGCCCGAGACCACTCCTCTGAACCAGGACACCGTGGGGGAGTACACACCCCTGCGGGATGAGGATCCCAACGCACCTCCCTACCAGCCTCCCCCACCCTTCACAGCCCCCTTGGAGGGCAAGGGCTCCCGTCCCAAGAACATGACCCCATACCGGTCACCCCCTCCCTACGTCCCCCCTTAACCCACAAGCGCCTGGGTGGAGGCAGGGGCAGGGCAGGGCCCGGAGACAGCACGGTGTTGTCTGGAGACCGGGGGCCTGCAGACCGTCGCCCGCCGGGAGCCGGCACCTGACTAGCACACGCTGACCCGCGCGGGGCCTGGACTGGCCTGCCCTCTCTGGTCCTCTTGAGCCCCAAAGCGGCTAGAGAGACTTTGGGGACATTTTTACTTTTATTTTTTGCCTAACAGCTTTTTGTTTGTTCATAGAAAATTCTTCGCTGCGTTTTTGATGGCTGGCTGTGAAAGCACCATTTGGCGTAGAAGTAGATGGAGGGAGCGAGGAACCGTGAATGAACTCGCAGGCAGTGCTGGGCGGCCTCCCAGCTCTCTGCGTTTTGCCTTTAACACTAACTGTACTGTTTTTTCTATTCACGTGTGTCTAGCTGCAGGATGTAACCTGGAAAACAGTAGCTAAAGATTAAATTCAAAGGACTTTCTTAAGGTTAAGTTTTTACATTTAATCTGCTGTTTACCTAAACTTGTATGTATAATTTTTGGGTGGGTATGGGAAATTGCTTTGCTAAGAATAAGCTCCCAGGGTGTTTCAAACTTAGAGAAGACCAAGGGACAGTATTTTTTAATCAAAGGAATCCTATTTTTTCACACTATGTAAACTGGGTTGCTCTGATACCCCAGAGTTGGACTGGGGGCCTCCCGGCCCTGGCTCCTCGAGGGGGGCCGGGGCCCTGGTGCTGGGCTTGCTCCCCCGCTGCGGCCAGGGGCTGGAAGCTGGAGGGGCCTCTCTAGGAGGGGCCGTGGACACTCACACCCCACCCCGCGCATGCTAGCGGCTTACCACCGAGGGGTCTTCATTTCCATGGAAAGGGGACTCCGAGAGGCAGCGGGCCATGGCCCCCAACCTAGGTGCTCCAGGGTGGACCAGCTGCTCATGGGGGTACCTGGGGAGGTCGAGGGACTCGACCACATCGACCTAGTTTCTTTTACCCGTCTGTGTTCTTCCCCTCCTAAAAGGAATATCATGGTTTTTGAAACACTCAGTGGGGGACATTTTGGTGAAGATGCAATATTTTTATGTCATGTGATGCTCTTTCCTCACTTGACCTTGGCCGCATTGTCCCAACAGTCCACAGCCCCCACCCTGACCCACCCCACCCCAATTCTCTGGCGCTCCTGTCCCGGACCTGGGGCCTGAATGGCTGGGAAAGTCTGGTGGCTGGGGAGGAGTGCCGGCAATAGTTCATAGTGAAAAATCTGTGGGCTCTCAAAGCTAATTTTTTACTAAAGTTTTTATACAGCCTCAAATTGTTTTATTAAAAAAATTTAAAACGGTGATGCTTACAGCAGTTTGTACAAGCTCTTAGTGTTGATTCCACGGAACTGACGGCTTTGCTCATTTTTATTTTACTTTGTCCCCTCCTTTTCCTAATGGTTTAAATTCTGGAATTACACTGAGGCTTCTTTGGCCTTTTTTAGCAGAATGCCCGTCCATCCACCTGCATCTCTGTCCCGTGACTCAGGGGCACCCCCTGTGCTTTGATTCTCCTCCTTTGGAAGACACCATTCTGAGCATGACTCCTTAACGTCTGAGAGTTACTGGGGTACCTTTTAGGGAGGGATGCCTTTTGCAATAATGTGGTCGAGGGTAGGTGGGTGGACCCAGGCTCCCTTTGCACACCAAGCAGCCACTTCTAAGCCATATAGACCTTTCTGCAGAGGACTCGTGTGTTCTGCCTTGGGAGGGAGGGCCGGTCAGAGGGGAGGGGCCTCCACCCTGCCCTCCCAAGGGCCTTCTGCTGTGCACCTGCTCCCACAGGGCCCAGCCACTCTCTCCCCTGCCCAGCCTCTGTGGGAACCTGAGTGGGCAGTGCCCCGGTTCGGGGAGCATGCAGATGAAGGCTCAGTGGACTTCTGGTGGCTGGGCCTTGTGCCTCCAAGCCCTGGTCCAAGCCAGAGTGCCCTAAGTGCCCCGGAGTTAGGAGCACGAGTGGGATCTGAACTGGTGAGATTATTTTTGATAACCTCATCAAAAAGTAAGCAATTCTCAGTGTTCCAGGTGAGGGCTCTGAAAGGCCTTCCAAACAGCTCAGTTGCCCCTAGCAACCCCACCACGGGGCACTGCCATGCAGAGATGCGGCTGGCCCGGAATGGCCTGTTGCCATAGCAACGGGAGGCGCCAGGGCAGTGAACAGAATAACAACAGCAACAATGCCCTTGCAGGCAGCCTCCTCCCCTGAGCATGGGCTGGCAATGGCCGCTGGACTCTGAGACAGTCCGTCTCACATTCGAATGTCCACCAACCACTGACGTGTTTTTATTTCCTTCTATATGATTTTAAGATGTTTTCTGCATTCTGTATAGAAACATATCAAACTAAATAAAAGCAGTGTCTTTATTACAATGCTATGGTCTCCAAGCATCTATTTCTCTGGCCTCTACACACTAGGAAGTGAGGGGTGGGGTAGGGAGGTGGGACCCAGGCAAGCCCAGGCGCAGATGGCCTGTGAGCAGCTCACTGTAGGGCCTCCGCAGCCTTGCCATTTTTGTGCCCTTGGGAGAGGGTGGGTGTGTGCTCTGGAAGTTCCTCCAGCACATGAGCCCTTCTTGGCACTTCTTCTTGAGTCCGAAAGTCTAATTTCCTCACTGCAGGACAGGGGTTGGGGGGGCTCGGAGGAAAACCCAATGAAATTGGGGGGGAGGGGGAGGATGGTGGGAAAGGCCCTGCCATAGGCTCCCTGCCCCTGAGTGGGTCAGCACCCCCTGCAGGTCCTGGACAGGAGTCTCAGCCTGGGTCCCTGAAAAGGTGGGGTTTAGGGTGTCCTCTGGTGGCAGCTTCACCCCAGCTGTCTTATGGGCTTAGAGCTGCCAGTCTCCCAGATAGCCTCAAGGCAGGTTTGGCCTTGGCCTTGGAGTGGGGAGAAAGGGAAAAAATGTTTCTGGCCAAGCTATTCTTCCCCAGTTGAACTTCTGTATTCTGGGCCTGCCCCTAAGTGCCCTGTGTGATGGACAGGCCAGCTGGGGAGGCTTAACATGACTTACTGCCCTTACTGCCCAGGAAGGGCCCGGGCGATCCTGGGACACTGCCCAGGGTGTGGGCGGCAGCAGCTGTGTCTTCTGAAGTGGGATCAGGGATCACTGAACACAGAACAACTAGTATCTCATCTGGGCTCAGTCCCATCCCCATAGGGTCTCCATCATCTCCACTTACAGCCCCAGGCTGCTTCTCTGCTCAAAACTTTCAAGAACTGCATATGATCCCATATTGCCTCTAGAGCTAAGTCCCAGAGTAGGGAGTAGCTGAGGGTCAAACATACTTCTGGAACACCGCACCAAGTGCCAGGAGGGCACTTTCCCCAGTAGGTGTTCAGGGACACATAATCTCAGCCCCCGGGCCCAGCAGCAAGGGCCCAGGAAATGAGGCTGCCCTTGCTCTATTGGCTTCAGGAAGTTCTGTTTAATGTCTAACCCGAAGCCACTGGGTCATGAGTGGACTCACTGTCCTGAACTCCAGTGAAGGGGTTCCTGGTTTCAGCAGAGAACAGTAAGGTCAGCAAGGCAGGAAGAAGAGAAGCTACAAGGGTCGGTGGCCTCTGCCCTGCTCTCTTCGGGGAATCCCTGAGGTTTGGCTTGGCAGCCCCCAGCCCCCAGCATTCCTGCCAGGTCTCTGTGACCTCCTTGGTGGGTGTGAGGACTGTCTACTCACGTCTTCTGAGCAGGAGAGGGGGTGATGGAGGGAAGGGACACAGTGAGGGAGGAGAGGGGGGCTGTTACCCACTGGAATCTACAGGGCAAGTTCCTGGGGTCCCTTTGGTCTGGCTTCCCCACCATTAATCTCCAAGGGACTCTGAGACACTGGGGTGTGTGCATGTGTGTGGAGTTACGATAACAAGTTAACCCCGATGCATCTGTCTGCAAAACGGGCAGGGAATGCAAGGGAGGCTAAAAATAAGTTACATTTTCTCCTAAGCCAGAGCTGTTGGCTGGAGAATATTGGGGTGTCTAGAGCTCCTGGCCAGACTAGCTATACAGAATACCGTCAATTTGGAGGGGTTCAGAGGCTCCACACGACTTGCCCCGGCCACCACCTGCTCCCAACAGGCTGAAAAAGCTCCTAGGAGTAGCCCTTCCCTACCTCCCCTAAAGCATTGAAGGCTTCACTTACGCATCAGTCTTTCTGGGGTGAGCTTCTCTCCTCTGTATATTACCATAACCTAAAAATATGTGCCCTGGCTGGTGTGGTTCAGTGGATTGAGCACCAGCCTGCAAACTGAAGGGTCCCTGGTTTGATTCCTAGTTGGGGTACATGCCTGGGTTGGGGGCCAGGTCTCCAGTTGGGAGTGTGTGTGAGAGGCAACCAATCAATGTATTTTTCACACAGTGATGTTTCTTTCCCTCTCCCCCTCCCCTTCCCCTCTCTCTAAAGGGAAATAAATAAAATCTTTTTAAAAAAGGTATCGATCAGCTGATGACTTACGCTTGTCCTGCTTTGCTTATCCTCTTGATCACCATCTTGAGTCAAGATGCCTGAGGAGGCCCAGAGAAGGCAAGGGTCCAGGGCTTGCAGCTAACACAAGGCAGATTCAATTCTGTGTGTGATCTCAACACTTTATTTTCTTTTTCTGATTGTGGAATTTTGTTCATATTGTGGAGCAGCAAAGAAGTTTTGAAGCCCCCACTGAGGGATGCTGGGCACCACTTCCTTTATGGAGACCCTGGAAGACCCAGAGGAGAATACAGGCAAGATATTCAAAGTCGGGGTGGGGAGCACCTGCAGGGGGTGCCTGCCTGAAGGCAGCCTAGGGCAAGAGACCTGGCCCCTGGGGTGAAGAGAAGCTAGTTTGTTCATGTCCCTGAACGGCCACGACGGTGTGGCTTGGGTTGTCGCACAGCGGTGATCCAGACAGCTCTATACCCAGGTGAGCCCCGCAGAGACGAAATTGCCACCAGCTCGGGGTCCAAGAGAAGAAAAGTGTCCGCAGGCTCCCAGGAGGTGGCGCCAGAGGCCGGAGTAAACCTGCCAGCGGTGGGCGGGGCTGTGGGCGGGGCCTTAGGGCAAGCAGCCGGAAACTGCTGGGAGCTCCATGGCCGACAGGTGGCGTAAGTGGGACGCTGTTGGTCTGTCTCTTGACCCGTCCCTAATCTCCGAGGGGCCAGTGGAGCTCAGGCTCTGAGCCTGTGCTTCGCTGGGGCGTTGTCCGTCGGAAAGGGAAGCCGACAGGCAGTAGGAGTGCCGAGTCTGGGGCCCAGGTTTCTGGAGGGCTTCTGCTCCTGGGGCCGCTCCAGCAAACCTCGAAATTGGATGTATGTAGGCAGGACTACTAAGGACCCTTACTTTTTGCCTTCCATACCCTTAGCTTTTGTGTGCCTCCAAGGGTATGTGCAGATGGCTGCACACAGTAGGGCTCAGCATTTGACGGTGCTCCCAAGCCTCCTCTTCCTCCGTGCGAGAGCTCCTGAGGGCATGGCCGAAAGTACTGTGGGATCTGGGGGTTCTGGATGCCAGGCATCTCCAGTTGCGTCACCGGGGGTCTCCTTAGTTTGTGCTCCTAGGAGATGACTTTTGGCACTAGAAACAGACACAGATGGGGGAGCACATGATCACTTTTTCTGGGTTGACCCTGGAGTAGGGACATCCTGAAGCCCAAGGGAACACCTTGCTCAAAATTGTCGCCACGGCCTTGGGCGCACAGTAGGCCGTTAGGGAACATCCGGTTGGCTAGGCCTCCCAGGACCAGGTCTGAGGGTGCTGTTACCTTTTGTTCTCACGGTGTCAGGCTGCAGAGGGTAAAGCCCAAGTCTGGAACTTGCTGAAATGTCTGGGAGCTCAGGTCAGGCTGACTCCCTTTTTAGGGATCACCCCCACTTCTTCACTCCCCACTTCCCTCAGCACCGTGTTGCTAAAGGCCTTGGAAGAGCAAGGTAAAGAGAGGGGCTGGCTCTGGCCCAGGATGGCAGGGAAGGGGAACCTGTGCCTGGCTGGAGTGGGCAAGGAGCTGGGTTTGAGAGGATTTGGAAGGGGATGGAGTTCTGTTCTTCTCTGAGGAGCACATGGTGTATGTGTTTGTATGGGGCGGGGGGCAGATAGTGGCAGCTCTGCCATCTTGTGTCCAGTAAAGTGATTAGAGTGCAAACGAGAGGCTGAGGGGACATCCACTGTGACCCCAGTGACTCTGACTGACCAACCACCGTGTCTCCCCAGCAATGCCTTGGGTCTCCCAGCAATGTCCTGGGTCCCAAGTACAACAGCTTCCTCCTATCTCCAGCCTCCTCAGAGAAGCCCTGGGCCAGGCAGGGCTAGGAGAGGGACATAGCCATCCTGTGAGCCCCAAGAAGACCCCTGGAGAAGGTCAGGGGATGAGGTGGACTTGGCTAGAATCAGCAAAGATCGGGGGAGGACTCAGATGAACACATGGCCTTTCTTCTCTCTTGGTGGCAAGTGGAGAATGCCCTTTGCCCAGCCTTACTATTTATACCTCAGTCTGCACTGTTAGCTCACTGTAAGAAAGACCACCTTCCTGGAAAGCTGATGCCTTGCCAGACCTCTCACCTGGAGGAGTTATAAATATAGAAAGAGCAGTGGTAACCCAGATGTTGCTGCCCAACTGGTACCTGCTACCTCCCAGCCAGGAGCCTGGGGGAGCCAGGGAGTGCTCTCAAACAACCCTGATGCCTGAGTGTGACATCAGCCCTCACAGTGTGGCCTGGTGATGCTTTGGCCACACCCACCACTGCAGGTCAGGACACTAGGCCTGCACTGCGGTCCAGCTGTCAAGCCCTCCAGATTCAGGGCCTGGTTTGAGTGGCAGCCCAGCAAGAGCCAGACTTGGAGATTGCAAGCTCTTGAGGGGAGATCAGGCTTATCAGTCTTGGCTTCTGCTGCATCCTTGGGGCCTAGCATCTTGTTGTCCTTGTATTGAGATTCAATTGAATCGAAGTCATTCACTAGCAGAGGCCATATGGGTTTTGCTTCACCATCAGAGACCCCACCCCATTCTGCTCACCCTTCCCAGAAGGCAGGGGCTCCTCTGTGGCTCCTGGAAACCTGCTGGGCACCCAGTAATAACAACAGGGCAGACAAGCCCTGTCAACAGTCTACTCTGACTAGGACAGAGGACAGGGTGGCTATGGCACGTGGACTGAAATCCCTGGTGGTCCAGGGTGATACTCAGTAGTATGCTTGGCTTTGCAGTAGTACAGCCACAGAGTGATCAGGACACAGGGCCCCCTGTAAGGGACTTTCCTGAAGAATATGTGGAACCGAGCCTGGTGGAAAGGCTGAACAGGCTGTTTCCTTCCCCTGGACTGTTCAAGTCATGTCTGAACCTCTGTTGTCTGAGCTACTGTCTGGGCTGGTTAGGAGTGGGCAGAGGGCATGACTTTTTTTTAAATAAGATTTTTAAT